TTTTATCTTGCTGCTGTAAGTGCCCTATCTCTATCTCTGGCATTCATCATTCTGCTCAGGATGTGTCCTGGAGTACTTTTATCTGGATCTCTGCTAGCTGTAACCCACTGGGATCTTGGCTCTGGGTGTCTGCGCCTCCAGCACTGGAAACTTCTCAGCAGTGACGTTTCTGTTGTGTCTTCACGAGGGTTGCCTTTTTGTCCTCTGGGATGCCTGTGATTCTTATGCTGTTCCTCCTGAGTCCATCCCAGGTTTCTCTTATCCGTTATTCACTTATCTTATCTTCTTTCCATCGGCTGCTGTTCTTTGGAGGTTTTCTTGATTTCATCGTGGAGTTCACTGATTTGGCTCTCTGCCATTTTGTTGCTCTGCTTCTCAGGCCTTCCAGTGAGTTTTTGTTGTTGTTCCAGCTTCCAAATTCTTTAATTTGGTCATTTCTGCTTCTATTTTTCTAATTTCTGCTCTTATCTTCTTTTGTACATTGCTGGCTGTCTGTTTCATTGTTTCTGTGAGCTCCTTAAACATCCCCTTCACTTTCCCTCTAAAGTCCTTATCAGAGGCCATAGAGCTGGTTATTATTCGTCACTAAAAGATCCCTAGTGAAGCTTCAGCCATACCTTGACTAAGCGGCTAAGAAGGTTGGGGCTCTGTGCTGCTCTCCCTCGGGTTCTCCTGCACCCAGCCATGATCCCCTGTGAGTACCTGGGCTCTACAGTGCCAGACCTAGGGCCTGAGACGTTCCTCTCAGCTTCCCTGGGCGCAGGTGCTGCACCAAGTCCCAGCCCAGCTCAGGGGCTGCTCATGGAAGGGGACCCACACTTCCTCCCTTCCTGGGCGGCGGGCACCCGGGTTCCAGGTCAGACTCAGACACGCCCCTCCTGGTCAGCCCTCAGGGCAGTGCTGTGCCCCACTGAGGCTCGTGTCTGTGCCGCCCTCAGAGAGAGGCTGGCGGGATGCTGATGGCGAGTCCCAGAGCTTGGGACTCCGAGGGCTTCACCAACTCTGTAGGACTCCAGAGCAAAGGTGGAAAGTCAGGATGCCTGTGGATGCCAGGAGAAGTGGCGTCTCCCTGACTGGCCTTTGCTGAGGAATGGATTCAGGGAGTGGAACACATATTTCTATAGACACCCGGAGGACATTAGCTTCCACCCCTGAATAATCAGTCACTGCAGGGACTATATAGCCTTAGCAAACTTAGGAAGGAGTACTGTCATCAAGAACAGATGCCCACGAATCATTAGCTGGTGTCTTGGAGACTGGCACTTCCCTTTCCCTTGGCACTTGCCTCATGAGAATAGTTAACTAGTCAGACCTTGTAGGAAGCCCAAGAGCTGCCTACTGGACCAGGGGTGTGTTCTGTGACCCAGCACATGCCTGCGTGTGCACCGCCTTGGGTGCTACTCTCAGCACTACACAGTACCCCCAAGTGCTGCCAGGCCTGGCCTGGTGCCTCCCAGCACTGCCAAGTGCGACCCCTCTAAAAAAGTTCTGCCCTATATAGAACTAGAAGCCAGTGCATGTCGGGAAAGATATGAATGATTTTGCATGTTCTTTACATGCCTGTGAATTCCAGGAATAAGGACTGAATCATGCCAATGGCCCCAAGCTAGCAGGACTCCATCACCCGATGCATCAGACACACGGGCACACAGCTGACCGGCAGCATCGGAGATGGCACTGGCGTCCATGCCCGGCTGGTCTCGGCGTCTGGCTGTGGTTGAGGGACCCCGGGTCACTGGGCTGCATGCCAGAGGGGGCTTGGCGGTCACAGGCCTCACAGGGGTTGAGCCTCCTGCTCCCTTGTCCTTGGTCTGTGCTTCGGAGGCGGCTTCTATGGGTTGTCCTGGGAGCAGAGGCCTTTGTTCGGAGCCGAGCATGACTCGGGTCCCGACTCTCCATTCTTCAGTGGGTGGACAGGGGGCTCTACCCACTTGGTTTCATTTCTTCCTGCCACGGCCCCATTTCACTGTAGAGTTCCACTGCCTCGCTGGCAGAGTTTGGTGGGAAGCCGGGACCAAGCGAGCCCGTTCTTTCACAACTGGCAGGACAGGTTGTCAGATAAAATGTTAGTAACTGTGTGAAAATGTGAACTCACCAGAACGCACCAAGGCAGCTACTGAAACTCTTACTGGCATGTGCAATTAAGCCACAGCAGGGAACTTTTTACATTCCATGAGATCAAAATGCTTTGTCCATGGATTCTTATTCATCAATAATTCTCTTTTAACATCATCAATAATCACGGGGGAAAAACTGTTGGTTCACAGAGCCAGAAAGATTTTCCAGATATGGACCAGTTTTGTTGCATAATACAAAAATTCACACTTGTTGGGCTGGAGAGAAAGCACAGCGGGTAGGGCGTTTGCCTTGCATGCGGCCGACCCGGGTTCGATTCCCAGCATCCCATATGGTCCCCTGAGCACCGCCAGGAGTAACTCCTGAGTGCAGAGCCAGGAGTAACCCCTGTGCATCGCTGGGTGTGACCCAAAAAGCAAAAAAAAAAAAAAAAACCAAAAACCAAAAAATTCACACCTGTTAAACACCATCACGCATCTAACCAGAAGAGTCTTAAATGCTGAGCAGCTGTCAAGCCATGGTGCAGGAAAAGGCTTCACACCCAAGCTCCACTGGGTGTGCCCAGATGTGAGAAGGATCATAACACATCTCTTCTGTTAGAAGTTCCTGTCTGTGGAGGCTGGATTTTCTCTCTGTTCTTAAGATGACTTACTGTGGCTTTTTGAATGAAGGTGGCATGAAATTCCAGCAGGTCCTTCCAAGATCTGAGAGAGATTTTCCACTAGTGCAAAACAGTTCTACTGTTGTCATGGTGTTTGATAATAGGTGCTACTTATTTTTTTGCATGTGATAGGGTTATTTAGATGAATTTATAAAAAATATTTGAAACGTTTCTCCATCTTAGTGTTGATGCAGTAGCCGAGCCATTTTAAAGTCATTAAGGCACAAGAACAACAGCTCATTGGGCTCTCCTGTAATTTTATCTTATTTATTTTTATGTGGGCTGGAGCAATAGCACAGCAGTAGGGTGTTTGCCTTGCACACAGCTGACCCGACCAACCCAGGTTCGATTCCTCCACCCCTCTCGGAGAGCCCGGCAAGCTACCGAGAGTATCTCACCCGCACAGCAAAACCCAGCAAGCTCCCCGTGACGTATTCGATATGCCAAACAGAGTAACAACAAGTCTCACAATGGAGACATTACTGGGCCCGCTCGAGCAAATCGATGAACAATGGGAGGACAGGACAGTGACAGTGACAGTATTTTTATGTAAGCGTCTTGCTTTACAGGGTTGTTCATTCAATTGTTTCAGGCACTCACTGCTCTGACACCAATCCCACCACCAGTGTAACCTTCCTTACACCAATGTCCCTGATTTCCTACCCACCCCTAAACCTGCCCCCACAGCTGGTGCAAAAAAAAAAAAATCTAATTCATTTTGTTTGTTATGGAAAAAAAGGCAAATAAAATTATCAAAAAATGTATCAGTGAAAGAATTTGGGAACGTTGGTATCTCACCATGGTGTTGCTAAAGGCGTCTTTGGGACTTCCCGAGGGGGTTGGTGCTAGCTGAGCCTCTTGTGTTGTTGTTTTCACTAACTGTGTTGGGTCGGCTGGAGCGATAGCACAGCGGTAGGGCGTTCGCCTTACACGCGGCCAACATGGCCGACCCCAGTTCGATTCCTCCGTCCCTCTCGGAGAGCCCGGCAAGCTACCGAGAGTATTGGATATGCCAGACACAGTAACAACAAAGTCTCCAATGGAGACGTTACTGGGCCCGCTCGAGCAAATCGACGATCAACGGGAGGGCCTTTAGTTTTTTAGTTAACTGTGTTGGGTGGGCTTCTAAGCCACTTTCTCGTCAAATCAGTGGGCTCCCACTGTGGAACTCGGAGGTGTCGCTCAGCTGTGTACGCAGCCACATGCTCCAGAGCTGTGGAGCTCAATGGTTTGGTGACTTGGTGACTTGAGGCTCCCTGTGGAATGTGCCGCTGAGCTGTTCTATTCTGAGAACATCGGGCCTGGGTGCTGCTGGGCCTTCCTGCAAAGGGAGTCAGTCCTCCCATGCCGAGAAGTCCCCGGAGATCTCAGCCCAGAGACACGTCTCTCTGAATGCTGCCGCATTTGTTTTCTTCCCGAGATTAGCGGTGAAGCCTGGTCACTTCCATGCAGGGGGGTTCTGGGTGTGGGTGGGGGTCTCCTGTCCTCTTAGTGGTTGTGAAGGGATATTGAGATCCATGAGAACGTGTCCCCCCAAATCCCTGTGGGCACCCCATTATCTGGGAAGAGAAAATGACAATGAATCTTATGACCAACAAGATAGTAACGTAAAGGCCCTCCCGTTGATCATCGATTTGCTTGAGCGGGCCCAGTAACGTCTCCATTGGAGACTTTGTTGTTACTGTGTTTGGCATATCGAATACGTCACGGGGAGCTTGCCAGGCTCTGCCATGCGGGCGAGATACTCTCGGTAGCTTGCCGGGCTCTCCGAGAGGGGCGGAGGAATCGAACTCGGGTCGGCCATGTTGGCTGCGTGCAAGGCAAGTGCCCTACCACTGTGCTATCACTCCAGACCAACAAGATAACTACTAGAGAAATTATTATATTGCATTAGCAAGAAATGTTGTCAAAGCAATTGATTATACTGTTTTAAAAACTATGAGGAAAAGTACAAACTGTCCCATGAAGAACTAAGTAAAAATACGCATACATCAATGCAGATTGGATGCCAATAATTTAAAAAGGCATTTAAAATAGCCCTTGCAGGCATTTTTCTCTAAGACTCTTAGGGAATTTTGGTTGTGACATGGATGTACATGTGTGTGATGGGTCCTGCTTAGGCGTCTGGGGTGAGTGCAGCCAAGCTCGGCTGTAACCTGCCCTCTCTGTGTATCTTTAACTTTCAGGATGGAAATCGGGACTTTTACTTCTGTTACGGCTCAGTCCATGGACCATGATTCTAAATACTTGTTTTAATTTTCAGTTCAACAGGTTCCGACCATCACGAAACAGCCCAAAGAGCAAGTGGCTTTCCCCTTTGATGAATATTTTCAAATTGAATGTGAAGCTAAAGGAAACCCAGAACCGACGTGAGTGTCCCCTGCCCCAGCGTTTGCCAAGTGCATGCAGAGTCTAAGCTTGCGTCCCTCTAGTCAGTGAGTTCCTTGGGTGGAAGATTCCCTGGCGATCAAAGGGTTTCCAATCCACAGAGCGAGTCTGTGAAAAGGGCTGGTGTGACATGGGCTCTGCAGAGGGCGCTATCTCCACTGGGAAACCAGCATAGCGGGGCTGCCCCGTCTAGCTTCGGGGTCTGGAGACAGCCCACCAGGGAGAGCCGGAGCCCAGCTGTGCTGGAAGGACGTGGTCGACACCCTGCACACCCAGGAGCCTGCGACGTGCTCTGGGCTCTCGGAAACGCCTCCTTGTACTGTCTGGTCAATTGCTACCCTGCTGGCCAGAATCACACTAGTGACGGGAAACGCCAGCCTAGGTGCCGACACGCTCCCAAAGCACTGTCTGGTTCTCAGAAGGAATGTGGGGAGGGTGGCGGGTGGGGGTGGAAAAACTGTGTGGAGAATCCCAGATTTCAAAGCTCATTCCAAAATAGAGCACAGAGCCGCACCTGCTTACTGATCTCCTCGCTTATTTTATATTCATTAAGGAGATCATGTCTACTGGAAATGTCTATTTTTAATCGTATGGTGAATAACACTGAGGCCCAGTGAGTCGGTAATTTTTTAACAAGAATCCCTGCTGGGGTCAGAGATAGGGCTTGAGTGGCAGAGTGTCTGTCTACCACGAGAGGGGCCCTGGAAACGGTCCCTGCTCACGCCAGACCCCTGAACACCACCAGGGTTTCCCCAGCAGCGGGGAAGCGTGTAACCAGAACACTGTTGTTGAGTCATTATTACTGACTCAAGCATGATATCACTTCTATATTTATTCCAGTAGGACGCATTAATTGGCATATTTAAATATGACGGGTTTGATGGGATGGTTGAGATCTAGTCCATCCTTGTGAATATGGGAATAATTAGAATCAAGCTGATTGTGTTGGTGCAGAGGTCCTTATAGACAGACTCATAGCGATTATGGATGACAACATACCAGACATGTATGTAACATATCAGGCATGTATGTAATAGACACCACACACATGAGTATACAGAAGTCAGGTATTCAGCACCTACGTGATCTGCTACATAGATGTGTGTCCCCACACATATGTGAAGTGTGTGACAGTGACAACAGCAGCACCAAGTCCTGAAGGGCAGCAGCACCTCCCGGGGGTCTGTGCGCCCCCAGGATCACGATGTTTTCCGGGAAAACAGGGGCTGGCTGCCAGGGCAGACGCCACCCAGCAACCCTGTGACATTCAGAATAAAAGGCTCTGTGTGTGCCTCTGGGAACGAAAGTCCCCCAGGGCATGGAGCCTGGGGGGTGGAGGGGTCCCCCAGCACCCAGAGGACAGAGGGGGGCTGGGTGGGGGTCCCAGCACCCAGAGCATGTGGGGACCCGAGGGGGGGGTCCTGATGCTGTGTCCTTCACGAGGCCCCGTCCCTGGTGAAGGAAGGACGCAGGTATCTGAGGGTGAGAGCAGGGCCCAGTGCAGGCCCGGGGCCCACAGCTGTGTGTGCACGGGTGGGCGGGGTCTCACTGGGCAGGTCCCCGTCCATCTGGCACAGCTGATCGGGCTGCGGCTCCCACCTTCACCCATGCAGACTGTGTCTCTCCAACTGCTTTGACAGGAGACGGGAGGGTGGGCGGACACAGTGCCCCCAGCCGGCCCAGCCTCGCCATAGCTGCAGCCTGACCATCCCACCACCAGGGCTGTGGACGGGAGCCCAGGCCCCCCTAGACCCCGTCCAGGGGGCAGGGAGCACTGTGGGCTCTGGAAGGCCCCTGGCTTCATCCTCGTGTCCCCCAGCCCAGAAGGGCGAGGGCGTGCGGGGGTCCCCAGGGGGGACGCATCCCACCCTGTTCTGTCCGGTGGCCCAGCCCCTCCCGGCCTCCCAGGCTGGGGGCTGGGGCAGGCAGCGAGGAGCTTGCAGGGATTCTCCTGACTTCACGGGCTGTGTTTTATTCCCACTCAGTCGCCCGACTCGTATCTGTCTCTGTGCGTTTGTTCGTTTCCGACGAGAAGCACGGCCTGTCCGGTCAGCAGCTCACTGTCCCTCAGGTTCACGTGGACGCGGGACGGCCAGCCGTTTGACCTCTCGGACCCGCGGATAATTCTCTCCAACGGCTCCGGGACCTTCAGGATTCCCAACGAGGGCCACGTGGCGCAGTTCCAGGGGAGGTACCGCTGCTTCGCCTCCAACGCGCTGGGGGTCGCCATGTCCGAGGAGATAGAGTTCATCGTTCCAAGTAAGTGTCGCCCAGAGGCCCTTTACCCTCTCAAAGTGCACGGTCAAGGCAAAAAGAAAAAAAAAGCGAATTTAATCTGTCTATTCACGCCTCATCGCTTATTGCAGGGAAGATGCTTTTCCAGGTCTCGGTAAGAAGTGGATCGCCAAAGAGCCACCGAGTTTGGCTCTGCTGGTGTCAGCCACTAATAATCAGGACAGAAGGCAGCTGGGCCGTGTCCCTGGGTGAGGCCCGGTGGGAGGCCTCAGAGAGAGTTTCGGTCAGGCTGACTGCAGCAAGGAGTGACCCCCCAGCCCCCAGCCAGCTCCCGACCTCGTGCTTTCCTGGGGCCCACTGCTGGAGCTGTAGCATGACCGTCCCCGTGTCCAGAGACGGGCCCAGCATGTGGACAGGAGTGGCAGCCTGTTAGAAGTCAGTGAGTGATGGAGCACTGGCAGCCGAGGCCCAGGCCCGGGGCGCAGGGAGCGACACTCCGCGTCTTCTCTGCTGCCCTGTGGCCTCTGGGCTGTCCGTGCAGGTGTGAGGGAGAGGAAGGAGAGGAAGGATAGGAAGGTGAGGCTGGAAGAAAGCGCAGGGGCAGGCCTGGGCGCGTCACGCCTTCCTGAAGGCCAGGCCTCGGCGAGGAGCGCGAGTGGCCCATCCACAACAGAGCGTCAGGCCCGGAGGGCACCGGGCGGGACACCAGCAGGAACGGAACCCTGGGCCCAGCGCCCCAGAGGGCCCGTCTGCCTGTTATTAACACCAGTCAAAACAGATTTTATTTTTAAAAGGCTTCCCTGAGATTAACTCAGGAAGCATACGTAATATTAAAATGCACGAAGCAGAAGGAGCACCACTGGGGTAAAAGAGAAATCTATCAAAATAATGAGCGATATTAACATATCGCTTTCATTTGGGGGAGCTCCAGCAGAGGAGAGCATCAGTGAGTGTGGAAGGCTGGATGCGGCCAGTTACCCGCCCGCTAATGGGCATGTCTAGTGCGTGGAGGACTAGCCCGGAAAGCGCGTGTTCAATATTTGATGACAGGTACGCTATGGAGGAATCAGGATCAAAGGGCAATTGAGCTCAAAATCAATCACAGAAGGATAATCGGAAAGTGGCAGGTACCTTTCAAAAGTGATGATCTGCATGTTTGTTAAGTGATCTTAGAAAGAACAGGACGCACTTTTGGGAGGATAATCACAGAGGTTCTGCATTTGAGGCAGCTGTGGAGATGGCTCTCGTGCGGGAGAAAAAGGGCCCATCTGGCAGTGGCTCCAGGAAGCAAGTCGGGGTCTCGGCTGTCCAGGGCGGAGCTGGGAAGAGCCGGGCAGGGCCACTGGTTACTCAGGAGAGGAGTGGTGGGTGGGTTTCTACGTCACAGTCCTTATGAGACTCGCCACCGCTGGGTGGACACAGGTCAGGAAAGACGGGAGTCCGGAGCTGGGGGCAGCGGGATCGTGACCCAGATGGGCTGCCTCTCGGGAAGCCAGTCCTCAGCACCCAGGAGCTGTGGCCGAGATGCCTCTCCCTGGAGGACTCGCAGAGGACACAGCCTGGGGAGGGAAGGACCCCTCTCCTGCCTCCAGCTCAGGAGGCTCCCAGGATGCTCGGGCATGAGGGACTGAGCGCTGGGTTCAGCACTGTCCCTGCGGCTCCGAGAGCTGGGGACAGCCAGCATGGGGGGAGGGGGGAGGGGAGGCTCCTTCACGAGTGCCCAGGCGGGGCCACATAGCACATCAGGGAGGGGAAACCCACCTGAACTCACCAAGGGGGCTTGGCGTCTCCAGCAGGGTGGGGAAGCAGAACTAGCCCAGGGCTGAAGGTGCTGCCTCATATCCCCAAGTCCCTCCAGGGAGAGGGGCACAGTGCTGGGAGGAGCCCCCAGCCCCTGGGTGGGCTGCACCAGGCAGATGCCGGGCCCGCCAGCACCGGAGAAGCACCAGGACCCCCAGTGGTGGAGAATCACGGCACTGTACAGTGTATTCAAACTCTGCGTGCGAGTCAGTACATGGCCACGTGGTAGACATAACTACATTGTAGCTATCATATAGCTGGGCTCTAATACATACATGATCATGAAACAACTGGCCCACACTGTATCACAGAGCTGTAATTGTGAAACTGTATAAACACGTGCAACATTTTGTATCATGCCAGTCAGGAGATGGAATGCTCCATTTTAAATCATAAAATCAGTCTCTGTATGTATTCAAGAAAACATTTATAAGATTAGTGGAAGTTAAGACCAGAAATCTGAGAGATGGTGGGGGGGGGGGGTGGCAGGAGGCCCGAGTCAGAGTGGATGCAGGCGTCCGGCTGCCCCTCCTGATTTCTCACCGTTGCTATAGCAACAGAGAGTCGAGGCCTTCCGGGGTGTCTCTGCAGGGACCGGCCGGAGACGCCGTCCCTCGGATGAGGGCAGGAGCTGCACTCGGCAGCTGCTGTGTTTCTGGAGTGTTAATTAAATTAAATTAAAGGCCCTCCCGTTGATCGTCGATTTGCTCGAGCGGGCCCAGTAACGTCTCCATTGGAGACTTTGTTGTTACTGTGTCTGGCATATCGAATACTCTCGGTAGCTTGCCGGGCTCTCTGAGAGGGGCGGAGGAATCGAACTCGGGTCGGCCATGTTGGCTGCGTGCAAGGCAAACGCCCTACCGCTGTGCTATCGCTCTAGCCAACAGTGATTCAATAAAGGTAAAGGTAAAGGCCCTCCCGTTGCTCGTCGATTTGCTCGAGCGGGCCCAGTAACGTCTCCATTGGAGACTTTGTTGTTACTGTGTCTGGCATATCGAATACTCTCGGTAGCTTGCCGGGCTCTCCAAGAGGGGCGGAGGAATCGAACTCGGGTCGGCCATGTTGGCCGCTTGTAAGGCGAACGCCTTACCCGCTGTGCTATCGCTCCAGCCCTTATTTCTGGAGTGTAGAGGAAACAAAACAGATCCCGTTGCCTGGCCCTCAGACCTCCTCACGGCGCGGCCTCTGGTCGTGGCTGTGGAACCAGCGTCAGTGCTCGGAAGGCAGCACCCTGGCCCCCAGCCTCGGCTGAGCCTGTGGGTTGGCACTCGCGGGTCCCGTGTCCCCCTCTCATGCCCTCACTGCCACTCGGCTCACCTGAGCCTTTCTGCCGTGAAGTCCCAACGTCCTTCCCACAGACACTTCCCGGACAAGGTTCTGTCCACCGGGCCCTGTTTCCAACAGGGGGGCCACGTCCCTGAGCACATTCTCCTAATGAGGGTCCCGGGAAGTGCTGTGAGCTGTGGGACACCCTGGGTGAGAGACAGGAGGACCAAGGTGACCAGTGCTTCAGGGAGAAGCAGCTGTGCCCCCCCCCCCCCGCCAGCCAGTCAAGGTCTGGGGGAGGGGAGAGGGTGGGCACAGGGGAGGGGGAGGGTAGGGGTGGATGGGTGTGAGCCCAGGGGGAGGGGGAAGTGAAGGGGAGGGAGAGGGGGAGGGGAGAAGGGAGAGGGAGGGGGAGCCCAGGGCGAGGTGAGGAAGGGCAGGTGGGTGTGGGTGCGGGGGGGTGTGGGGGGCCGAGGGCCGGGCCCTGCTGGGCGTCCTGCCCACCTGTGAGCACCCCCCACCAAGGCCTGCAGAGCCGGTGCGGACCCGGCCGCTGCTTCTCAAGTGATGTTGCCGACTCAGCCTTCCCCGTCTGCGTGAGGCCCCGGCTGCCATCAGTGACCCCACCGTGTGCCCCCGAGCTGGGCCCCCTGCGCCCCGGCTGCACGCTGTCACCCTCAGTGCCTGCTGCCGCCCCTTGTGCTTCCCTGACCTCTCTGGGTCTCTGAGGTTGTGACGCCCCCTCGAGGCCTCACGTTCCTGTGTGTCCGGCTGCCCCTGTGTCTTCATGATTCTGGGTGGGGGTGTGGGAACTCGCAGTCCCGCCCCTTCCGTGTGTGTTGCTCAGGCCACCTGCCCTTTTCCAGCCTCTGCACCCCCTGGGCTGTTCCTGAGCCCACCAGCCCATCTCTGTCCCGGCTTCCTGCTCTGTGCTGTGAGGCTCATGCGTCCCTTCTGTTCTCTCTCGCTGAGTGCGGCTTCGTCCTGAAAGCCACGCTCTCGCCTCTCTCTGGTCTTTATCTCTGAGCAGAGGGAGGAGGAGCGAGTCATGGGCCCTGGGGAAGGCCAGGCTGCTTGCGGTGGGCTGAGGACGCGTCGCTCTGTGGACACGGCCCCTGACGCTTCCCCTTTGTGGCTCAGCCCACAGCGGCGATGCCAGGGGCTCAGGGGAGTGGGGGGCAAGGGAGGAAGTCGGGAAGGGTGCTCCTATCTCTGGGACCCACCTTGACACCGCACCAGGGGTTGGACTCCTCCACAGGCCCACACACTCTCGGGGGCAGGAGAGGGAAGCCAGCCCTGCACCCTACCAGGCCGTGGGGGTCCGTCGCCCTTTCCTCCCAGGAAAGGATTTCGGCAGGAGATGAACGTGGAGTACTTCTTCTCTAGAGATGATGAGGAAGGGGGAGGGACTCCCAGGGGAGAGAGGCGGGTCCCAGGCGGGAGGTGCCCGCCTGCCTGCGAAGCTGCTTTCGTCGGCTTGCTCCCTCACTGACCGCCTGGGCCTTTCTCCGCAGACAAGAGTCCCTGGCCAGTGCGTAGCCACGGGCAAGCTGGAGCTTCTGGTGGGCCCACTTCCTGTCCTTACCACAAGCCTTTGCTCCTACTGGAGCTTCTCTGGGGTTGGGGGATGGGGGGGTCTTCTCTGGGCACGTAGTAGGGCCAGCTTGAGTTGATCAGGCTTAACTCCTGTGTCCACAGGGTGTCCAGGTATGGTTTTAGTGGTTTAGGGCTCTTGACAGAGGCGCTTCTTCAAACCCCTTCTTGGTTTATTACATCCCCAGGAGCTCGTTGCTGGACCCCCGTCTACCTGCCTTCCTGGGTCCCTCCCACGCTCTGCTTACGTGTGGGCTCCTGTAGCCCCTCAGGACGGCTTCTGCACTCAGACACTCCCAGTCCCAACTTAGGGCCAGGACGTGGGGGCCAGAGCAGGTCCCAGAGGCGTGCAACTTTCTCGTCCA